AGACTACTAAATCAATAGATAAGAAGCAACAAAAAACTAAAATATTTTTTCAATTGTTTTCTACCTATCCATTTAGTCTGAAAGCAGATATGAAATGTTTGAAAATAATTTTTGGAATTACAGACTGTTTTCAGATTCTATCTGCAGAATTTGTTCTGTGATCATATTACATTGGCTTCAAGTAAAAGCATCTAGCTGTTTATACTGAATCAGTTACAATGCAAGCAGTTTCAGTATAAAAAAATTGAGTTAAAAAAATTAATATATTCAAAAGGAACTTTGTTTTAGATTACATAAACTATACAGTAAACTTAACTAGTTGGAAAAATATTTCAACAAATGATTCTTAGAAATTTTAACTTAGTTAAATAAACTTTTAGACATAAGATGTTTAACAGATTTTACTTGGAAGTCATATCATTAAATATTAGAATGTTAAAACACATATCAAGTTATATGAATCATTCTGTGTATTTATATTATAGTTTAAATAAACTTTTTAAAGTTTAAATTACAAAAATTTAATTAAAATAGCATAAAATTTAAAATAAATGGGTTATATTGTTCAATGAACTATAAATATTCAATATTCATTTACAGTATTTTGTACATCTTGAAAATAAATGTTTTGTAAAATNTTCTTATGGAGGGAAAAGTTTTTAAATAAATAATTTTAAGTTTAGTTAAGTAACAAAAAATTGAAAAACCATACAAATGCCATAATATAGATAATATCCAGCAGCTCTATATTTATGCTCTTCTGTATATACAATAACTTTTCTTGTAATGTTGTATTGTTAATGTAATTTTGAAATGCACATTTAAAATGTTAAAAAGGAATTAAATGTTTGTTAGCAGTAAAGTTCATTTAGACTAATATGATCATTGAACAATATGTCTAAATTATCTATTAATGATCTAACCTCAATACTTCAGATTACTATTTTGGGTAAAAATGTGCATCTTTGAACTAAGAAAATACAATAAATGTTTGATTTTTCTTTAAATTAATGTAGATATCTTTTCAAAGTTAAAAGAAATATTAAAGAGAATTAATATTTTTATGAATGTAGAAAGTAAAACATACAAGTTGTATTGAGATAAAACAAATCTCACAAATAAGACTATTCAAAAACTATCAAAAACAACCAAGACTGTATATATACTTAGCTATCTTTTTATAAAATAGTATTAATGTTAAAACCTATATAAAAATAAATAAATTATTTTGCTTACTCAATAGTATCTATATTTATGTGTGAAAGGAATTTTAAATAATTGCAATATAGTTAAAAAAGCCTTAAACTCTGATATAAAATTCATACCTTATACTATTGAATAAGTAAAAACTTATTTCAAAAGAACTGCCTCATACTTAGTTTGATTTATCGTGAGGATTAATTTATGACAAATAAGATATATCTTATTTTTAAATGTAATGTATGATAGTGATAATGGAATTTAATTTTTGTGATATAGAGTAGGCTCAACTCAATTCACTTCAGAATTTAAAAAATTTAACTTACTTGTTAGTAATGGATAACAAGATTAAATAGAGGTTAATGAATAGGTTAAAAGTAACATTATGCTAATAATTATCAAATTGGTCAACTTCAGTGACAATTGCTCAAATAGAAACATTAATTCATTATAAACTTATCTTGTACAATAAAAAGATTTAACTTCTCATTAAACAAATCATATTTATACATAAATATCTTATTGGGGTGAAATTTGAAAAAACTGTAGACCTATAAATTCTCATTGTCATCCATCTGTCTGTTTTTCCTTAATCTTGAGAATGGAGTTAGACTAGATATGGAAACCTTAGGGGCAGGAGGCCCCAATTAACTATATATGAACATATGATACAAACTGGAAGTCACATTATTTCAATTCAAAAATTTCCCCCCAAAAGGTGTTAGATAAATGACTGACACAACTCTATTGTTAAAGGAAAACTATGATGCACAGAAGCAAGCCACTACTAATTTGTAATTATCTTATTTTTGCCAAATACTAATTGACAATTTTAGCTAATAGTTAATTAATTATTACATATCTAACAATTCATTTATATTTAGAATATGAATGGTGTTTTATTGTTAGCTAATTTTTCTTTTGATATTATTTTATATTATAGCTATTATATTGTTTAAATTTTATCTAATTATTTCTTTTTCAAAGAAAAAAACAGACTTCAAAGTTCATAATTACAGAAATTTTCTGACTAACTTATTGAAATACATAGCATATCTTTATTTCAATAAAACTATTTACTTAACTTTTAATAAAAAATATAAAAAACAATATAGGAAATATTCATAAAAGATTTGTTTAAAAGTTAAATTATTGTCTGCTATTCATTTCCACGTTTTATACCAACATAAAACTAAATTATTGTTAATTAATGAATTTAATCAGAAACAAACTAAAATAGCAAATGTCTAATTTACACTAAAATATGCTTAGATCATTTGCATTAATGACCAGCCAATATTTTATGAGATCCAATTAAATTGATAACTAATCAGTCAAATGAAATTATAAAAAACTGCTTACTTCTTGTTCTAGTAATTAAATATCTAATAATCAAAATCATTCATTAAAAACTGGAATCAAAAATATAAAAATTGCATTTCAAAATTACAACATGCTTTTCTGGTAGATTATACACAAATTATTGACTGAAAAACAATGTTTATTAAAAATAAAGTCCAAATTATACTTAGATTTTGTTTATTAAGAAAGAAATGAAAACATAAAACCTCTCTAATTCAAATTTTGTTTATAATTAAAAATAATTACTAAATTACCAACAACAGAAAATAGTATAAATTCATTAAACACACTGTAATTTAATTAAAACCTCCTGCAAGCTTGTGTAACTACAGATGTTTTAAATGTTAAATACAAACTATCAACAACATTTATGAATAATTAAACTCTAGAAACAAACACTGTATTATGAAATAAAACATTTACACTCTATAAATATTATAGCCTTTAAAATTTTAATTTTAAAAATGTATTATATCATTAATTATTTTAATTATCCTTGAAACTGTAAACTAAATCTTTATATTAACCATAATATATTCATCTTTATAATAATTTTTTTTTAATCTTATCAAATTTTATACTCAATGTATCATAAAACTTACATATGCACTAAATAAAACTACTCTATAATCTCTAAATAATGTAAGAGTTTTGTCATATGTAGTCCAAAATTAGTGAGGTTTATTATATTTCAAATACTAGAAATTATTCTTAATATAATTTTTAATTGTTAAAATAATCTTAATTATTATATTCTACAGCACAGAATTTTAAATATACATTTAAAAATAGAAAATTAATGAAAAATAAAATTGTTAACAATTTAATTATTCTTTTATATTGCTATTATTATTTCTGATATAAAAATCTGCATTAAATTCATCTAAATGTAGGAGTTACATTTTATAAGCTAGAAAGTACAATATTAACCATTTGTTCTATTATAAGAAAATATAAAAATTTAGTTATATCATTATAACTTTCATATTTTAACTAAAACTAAACCTAGAAAAATTTCTGGACTTACTATTTTAGAGTTCTATTATACAAGGAGTTTTTGACATGTAAGGCATTACAAGTCAATAATTTGGAAAACATGTTTCTAATAAAAAAAATTTATAAGAATAAAGTTTAATATTTTCAAGGAGCATTTTTACTACTATAAAAATAAAGGCCCATCCTTCTGAGAAGGGTAGAGGGAAACTTTGAAATAAAACAATTTTTTTTTTTGATTCTGTATTTAAAAAATAAATTTTTATTGAGAAATTTTTCAAAAGATGGTAATTTCAAAAGTGATGAGCATAAATAAGCATTCATAATGTTTGAAAGATAATGGTCCATAAAAATGCAACATTTTTATGAGCTAATTAATTTCTGTTCTTTTATTGTTTCAGTTATTTAACAGAATATCAAATGTTTAAAGATATGCCCATTTTTATTTTCACATTTCAGTAATCAAGTAACAAAATTTTGCTGAATAGACTAACGTTTCTCATGTTATTTTTAACACTCACAATGCAAGTTTGCTTGATTATCTTGAATCATGGTCAGTTGTTGAAACAAAGCATGATCCTCTTAGGAAATAATCCATTGGTGTTAGGTCTGGTGATTTAGGTAACCTTGAAATTGGTCCTCTAAATCCAATCTATTGTTATGCAAACATATTGTTAAAATTCACTTTATAAACTAATTCAAAAATGAATACTGCTTTTGAACAATATTAAGAATTAATTAAAAATTACTCATTAATTTTAAAATCTGTTTCAATTAATTAACTCATAAAAAAAATTGCATTTTTATTAGACCATTATATTTAAAAACATACAAATACATATGCTTATAACTTTAGAAATGATCATTTTTTGAAAAAAATGTTCCCAATAAAAACTTATATTTTAATAGAGATTCAAAAATATTAAAAAAACTGTGGTAGTTCCATTTGAAATTTTAAAGTTGCCCCACTCCACCCAGAAAGGAGGATGGCCAGGCTTTATTTTTACAGCATTAAAAAGCACCCTTGAAAATATTAAACTTTTATTCTTTTCAATTTTTTTTTATAAGAAGTATATTTGCAAGATATTAACTTATAACAATATATGTGAATCACCCTTTATGTGAAAACAACTCCAAACATCCCGTATAATGCCAAATAAAATAATAAAATGCAATATTGTTTATTTCAAGTGTAAAATTAATTTCTAATTAGCTTTAATAGTCCAATAAATCTAACAATTCTGATACTTTTTGACTTCAGCTAAGCTTCACCAAGTTTTTGTTTTTTCTTATATTATTTGACCTCATAAGTAATACATATCTCAAATCTAATTCATCGGATCATTGAAATAATTTGATGACTGCTATGAAATTATGTTACGTTAAAAATGAAAATTTCATTAAATTTATTATTTTTCACTAAAACATTCACTTTTCTTTTCCAGCAAACAAAAGAAATATCCAAACAATCTCACCATTCAATAAGCCATCATGAAGCTAAATTTCAGAGCCATATTAAACCAAACAAAAAACACAACCAAAAACATTTTCAAAAATGGGAACGAGAAGATTTGCACTTGCAGGATTTAAATCTAGAACGTCAAATTAAGGAACGTCAACGTGCTCACAGAGGATCACATTCTCCACATAATGATGGACATCATGAAGTAGAAAGAATAGTCACTCATCATCCTGGTAAATTATTCTTTATTTGATAAGATTAATTAAATACTAATAAATTTAGCATCAATTGCTCTTAATCTTCTTTTGTCAATATTTAGTTTTCATTTTAAGAAATTTTATTATATCCACTTTACAGACAATTTATGTTCTTGCTGATTAAAGAAACTTGAAATGTTTTGTTTCAAATGCAAGAGTTTTAATTTTATTTTTATACAGGAAATCCTCATTACTTCAAAATTCAAGAGAGGAAATAATTGCAACTTTAAATTATTGAGTTTCGAATTATCTGAGATTTACACATTTCTGTACAATATGCCAAATGCCATGTAACTGATGTAATTTATTAAGAAAGCAGAATATAGTTACATATACAGAATGCTAATTTCGTTAATTAATAATATAAATAAACTGCAGGTAAATGGCATGTGACTGGTGAGAACCTCTCATGTTGCCAGATAGGTTTTATAAAAAGTAAAGCAGAATTCTTTGAAATGTAGCCCAAGTTAATTTTAAAGTAAGCCACCCAAATCTAGTTGCCTAAAGCCCTACAAATATCTCAATCTGCTACTTGTAGCCCAATCTTACCCAGCCATATTTTATGAGATAACAGAAAAAATGGTAGTCCATGGGTCAGGTGACACTTGAAAATGTGTTACTGTATAAGCAAAGCCATGTTGACCAGATTACAGTTATTCTTGGCCTATTGTTTTTTTTATTGCATGGAGGCACTTTGATGTAAACAAACAAGTTAACATGTGCATATCACGGTTCCGACAGAATTTTCACTTTGAATATCGTATATTTTGAACTAACCGAATTCCTTAACATGTAAATCTGTAAATCCCTGGTCAGGACAAATAGTACAGTTACAAACTTACAGGAATTTCAAACTATTTTGAGTTTGAATTAAAAAGGATTTCCTGTACTCTTAATTGAAAAATAAATATCTTCTAAATGCTAGTACTAGTACTTATTCAATATAAAAATATTGTATGAAATAATATTAAATGATACTAAATATCATGTTAAATAAGTAATATTTCTACTGTAAAATTATCAAATTTTGATTTCATTATAATTAATATGTTAGGTATAATAGTCATTTGCAAGACTATATTACAGGTCATTTTTTCATTACTGTTTATTGACATAACATGTTCTAATGCCAATTACACAATTACACACTTCAAATAAATTTTATACATACAATACATTTACTAAAGTATATACATGGACATTGCCTTAAACATTGACTGCCAAACAAAATAGCATATCTAAATTTTTTATAGAATTTATTTTTAATTTTGACTATTAATATAGTATTCTTTACATTTTAAGTAAATATACTGTAATAATTTCATAGTTTATTTTGCATTTGTTATTCAAATTGATGCTAAGAAATATCCAAATCATACTGATATTGTTTATGTAGTATTGTTATCATCTTAACTTTTGTAACTCACTTTGTTTCTCACTTTTCATTTACAACAGTACTAAAATAAAAAAAACGGCCTTTATAGAAAGCAATAAAGGTTTCATTTATTGAATATTTGAATTTAATATAATTAAGTCTATTTTATTATATTCCATAATTTTCACGAGTTTCCATTAATATCTACTTTTTATAAAGATAACATATTTTCTTAAATATAAAATCAAACTACAAAAAAACCTACCTAAATATGTTTAATAAATGTAATGCAATAATTTATTTTTTAGGTCATCTTAATAAAGAACCGTGGATGAAATATGAACACAATAAGCATACTAAAGCATTTAGTCATGCTCAAGTGGATCATCATCGTTCTCATCATAAAAATCACAAAAATACTCATCATAAAAATCATAAGCAAGGCGATAAGCCTATGAAGAACAAACGAAAGAAAGCTCATGAAAAGAAATTTAATAAGAAACATAACAAAAAACATTTTACATGGTAATCAATAATAATTCAAAATTTCAAAAATGTTTTGTAATTATAATTATATATTTTGAATTTATTAATCTATATATATTACCTGTTTCATTTATGAAAATCAGAATTTCATTTTTGATTGATAAAAAAATTTGTAATGCTAAATTTATTTTAATAAAATTAATTATTTAATATTAAGTTGAAAGGCTACAGAATGTGGTAAAGCTTAATTCTTAGAAATACTTAAAAAAAATTAATTTAACATAAAATTATAATAATCAGTATATTAAAAAATGATAATTAACATAAATAATTCAATATATAAATTAATTGATAATAATTAAAACAAAAGTTAAAAGTTAAAATTTTATATTATCTTGTATTTGATTTTAAAAAATAAACTAAAATTTTGAATATTTACAATGTATGTTTTCAATATTCAGTATAAATATAAAATACATAATAAAAATAAAATTGATGTCAGCTTAAAAATCTTTTTGTACGTTATAATTTATAATACAATTACATAAAGAAGTTAAAATATCTGACAGTCTACATTTTAATTTCTTGAATAAATTTCAGTTATACTGTGTGTTGTATTTATAATATATTTATGTAAACAAATAATAAAAATATAATTATTAAATTACTTAACTAATTTTATTTTGTTATATTATTTATTTTTTATAAAATGAATAAAAATTTCATTAGACGTAAAAATAAAGCAATTGGTTTATTTTAGAAATATATATACAGGTATATTATATATACAGGTAACCCCCGTATAACACGGCACTTCTATAGCATGGATTCACTCTAACACGGTTCGAGAATTGGTACCATCCCCCGTATAACACGGTACTTTTATAGCATGGATTCACTCTGACACGGTTCGAGAATTGGGTAAAACCCTCGTACAACAGGAAATGTAATAAATTTTTACATATTTAACTAATAATAGTTCACGAAAATTATTATTTTCGTGAACTATTAGTACTTAAGTATGTAAATTTTCTCTTCTCGCCTTCTATCGATACAGATGGTCCTTCTCGAAACTTGTTTCAATGTTGCCAGATCGCGACGCTTCTGCTTCTGATGTTGCCGAATGTTTTTCCCTTATTCCATACTTGCTTTATTCTTCATAAGTGCTTAGCACCATATAAGGAAATTTATAAAGACCTTTTAACTAGAAGCAAGCAATCTAAAATTACATACATTTTGCAAAAGGTAAAGCATGGATCTGAAGATAATGCAGAAAAATGCTCAGAGGATAAGGATAACTTGCCAAAAAGAAAACGCTCTCGGTTAATTAATAGTGTTTTTAGTGATGACGAAGAAAACATTGTTTAATTTATATTAATATGTATCACTTAAAAAATTTTAATGAAGATATTTATCTTAATTATGAAAATATACTAGCATGTTTTTTAATTTTTGGAACCTAACCCTCCTTTTCGTATTAGTTCTTTGTTTCGTATAACACGGCAATTTTTTGGAACGTAACTACCGTGTTATACGGAGGTTACCTGTATTTCAAATTGTCAAGAAAAACAAACTTTTAATAATAATATCAAAATTCAAAAGAATTTGTAAGAAATATTAAATTTAAAAAGATTGCTTTTATCATATAAATTTCTTAATTTAAAAATCATCAAAGTTGACTTTAGCTTTCAAACTGACTTCAGAATGTCTGAGCCAAATCATATTTTCTTTTTCATTATTAATATTGCTTCAATCATTAAAGAACAGTCATTTCATAATCTAATTTTTACTATATCTCATAAAAATCAGATAACAAAACTGTCTTTAACACAAACAATATAGTTGTTCAATTCCACTTTAAATTCTTTTGTTTCTGCAATTTAAATTCTCTCATTTATTTTAAGTAAAGAAACATGGAAATTTTGTTATTTGTAAAATATTTCAAACTGAACCATCATACTCCACAGAAAAAATTTATCTCCTAACCACAAGGCTTGACTTATACTATATTCAATATCTATAACTTAATTATATACAGCGGAACCTGTTTAAAACAATATGTGACAGTAGTAGCCACAGTTTTCTATTTTGACAAGCTTGTTTTTAGAGATCTTATGTTTTTATTAAATGCTAAAGAAAACATTCTTCTGAATATAGCATTGTCATTTGATCCACTTACAAATGGGACAGGAGCTTTTGTTTACAGAATAATAAAAAATTAGCAGTGGGGTCAGTACTAGCTTTACTGATAATATCCCACTAACTAAATGAAGTTCCCTTATCCTGACCTTGAACACAACACTTCTTTCTCCAATTACAAACCAGATATCAATCTGTGAAATACAAGATTATTTATAGCAAAGTGAAATTTGATATGATTATTTTATTGCTTTATCAAATCAAATTACAAAAAAAAAAATATATACATTTTCTTCAATTCACAAGTTTTGTACATCATTAGAAAGAAGACTAAATGAGAGAATAAAAGATATAATCATAGTTTCCGATGCAATGCTGATGATTTCACAATTTCAGATTAAATAATGGCTTCTTAAAGTCACTATGAGACAGAACAAAGGCAGTCAACCTCATGTGACACACTTGGAGAGTCACATGGCATCTATGAGATGCCATAGTGTACACTTTTTCAACATTTCTTATATTTAAAATTTCATTTAAAAAATCTTTAGTAGTTTCTACCTTCCCAACTTTATAACTGGAGGACATGCACTCTGTACTTTTTTACATCCACAAATACTTCTAAAGAAACAAAAACACTACCTCTGTGAGATTCAACAAATCCTTTCATAATGCAAAAATTGCAGATGAGTTCATTTGTAGCTATAAACTTTTTCCTTTGTTTTAATACATTTTTAAAATGAAATGACTAAGTAATTTATTACTACTTCTTAATGAACTAATAGAAACCAGTCCCAATGTCCACTTCTAAGAAGATGTATGATGTTACATTCTGCAGGTGTTTCTCAGACAACCAGATATGGGATTAATTTAAGCACTATGTTATAAATTAATTTTTCGATTTTCAAATGAAACCTAAAATGATTTGAAACATGTGCTACATGATACAATAATAATTTAAAATAAGTTTATTCTTATGAAAATACTACTACTAATATTTTAATTTATTTTCTATTCTTGCATTGATGCACAACAAAAATCAAAAGTGACAGTGTGAGCAAAATTTCAATCAGTTATGAATGAGATCACTGCATTGCTGTGACAGCATGACTTTTTATGCATCACATTGTTTCATGGACAACAAAAATATAAAAGTAAATTTTGATAACACAAATTGTTCAAATTGTAAAATTTTTGTTCATTTCATGATGGTGTTACTCATCTATTGTGACAAATGAATTTATTTAATAACAATCCAATAAATTTTTAAATTATAAAGCTAGTAATTTATGCAGTTGACATCATGTGGTAAACTGCCAAATTTTTGATGGTCCATGCATTATTTCTCATATAGAAAACAATCTTGGTTAAGTAATCAGAGAAAAATGTTGATACTTTCTGTAATATTTCAAGTGATAGTAATTTTTGAAATAAAATAATTGATTTTTTATGACACAAAAAAGACAAAATGTGGAAATTAAAGATATAATTTTAGTTTCTGATGCAATGCCAATAATTTCACAATTTTGGAATAAAAACTGGTGTTGCTTTTCCTAAGTTGAGTCATGTGGTGCCCAACAGACACCATGTGATTCAACTTAGGAAAAGCAAAATGCATGCCATCACATCACTGATACTGAGCTGATGGTGTGAGGTGGAAGAGAATGAAATGCAGCATTTAATGACATATTACAATGACATATATTCACAAGTAAACTGATAATATTAAGCATCAAAGGTAACAGAAAGGTCATTCCAAACTATGCTCATTACATGTTCCCTAATATGGGCAAACTTTTAAACATATTCCTGTGGTGCAAATGGTAGCAGTGCCAACACCAAAACATGATGTCTCAGGTTCCCTGCATTCTAAACCATCATATTATACCAAAAAGGCTGCAGAAGAACAAAAGAAAGAGAAAAATCTGAGTCTGAAATGGAAGGTGACAAGTACACAAAGCACAAGAGACAGTCATCATTCAATGCTGATTCTTTCCACATGATAAATGCCAGTGAGGACCATATTCTATTTCCAGATGACAAGCTGGACAATGTGCATGTTTTTCACCATGAAATATTCCACCAACCAGAATGGTGATGACTAGCTATGATGCCATATGTGTTTCAGGTGGCATCACCAACTGTGTGATGCAGCCAGGAAAGAAAATCTCACAAAATACATTTGTATGCTTTGTTTTGATGATTAGACAATTGGTTTATTTCTGTTTGCCTATATTTATATAGTTTGTACAGTGAAATAATAGACATGAGTCAGTCTGAGCTGGAAGGGTCTAAGGCATCATATTTGTTGCCATTTTCACATTTTTACCACAAAAACATTGTGCACTTGCCATTACCACATGCACCTGTCTACAGTACATGGCCCAACAGTTATTACTTCTTTTCAGCTATGTTTACTTTCTATATTGCATTATCTACATGAATGCAAAATATTTAGGGTAGGTGGAATGTGGTACAGTTGCTCTATTTTCATCTTTTACTCTTTGGTATTTAATTAAATTTCTTGCTGTTTATGATTTTTGTTTTGTTTTCTTATATATGATCCAAATTCATCACTTAAACAATTATTTCATACATTAATGTGAATGCATCATCATATTAAAACTGCATAATATTTATTCCAATTATTAATTTCATGTACAATGGGGACAACATTCATAAAGCTTGCCTTTATTGTTTTTCACCATTTGGAACTGCCTATCAAACATTCATTTTCTAGCAACGCCCATGGATTTTTTTATGAATTCTTACTGTACTCTGTGTTGTATGTTTTTTTTTCCTTGGAAAGTACTTGTGCAAAAAAGTGTAGTGCATGCCCTGCAGGTTAAAAAGTTAGAAAAACAAAAATTTTTTCAGACTTTTTTATAAAATTTTAAATATAAGAAATGAAAAATATGTGCTGTAGCATCTCACATACATCATGTCAGTTAGTAAGGATTAATGTAGAAAAGTTGAAAAAAATGTAAAAACCAATATTTAGTAATGCTTCTCTAATATAGATGTCCTCTAACTTATCTTTTCTTCCAATCTGTTTCGTGTTTCAGAAAGATGTTGAAAGCAGTGAAATGTATTTATGGGGAAACTCAATATTCATAAAACTTTAATTATATTTAATACTACAAATACATTATTATATCTCTAACTGCATTATTAATTAATAAACTCCATCATACCTTTAAAATGCAGTCTATTTTGAACAGTTACCGAACGTTTTCGGTCTAATTAATAGACCTTCTTCAGGATCGAATGTAAAGAATTTCAACTTGCCAAACGGTAATTTGAAAATTCCAAAAAAAATTCCAAAAAATTCCAAAAAAATTCCAATTCCAAAAAATAATTCCAAAATTCCAAAAAATTCCAAATTCCAAAAAAAACCTTTTTTTTGGAATTACCGTTTGGCAAGTTGAAATTCTTTACATTCGATCCTGAAGAAGGTCTATTAATTAGACCGAAAACGTTCGGTAACTGTTCAAAATAGACTGCATTTTAAAGGTATGATGGAGTTTATATTTTATAAATACTTTATTGATATGTTCCTTTGTATTGGATATTATAAAACATTAAATTTGCTAAAAATCCTTCATTTTATTTATTAATAAAGTATTTTAAAATTATTTAATTTAAAATTTAACTATAATCTTACTTTCATAACTGAAAAATACAGTAATACCCCGAACTTACGCTATAGGTGGGACTGAGCGATAACCGCATAAGTTGAATTCGCGTAAGTCGGGGTATAATTTCGCAATTTGTGTAAAATTCAAGTCGGATGTATGTAAGCTAATAAATGTTCTCGTTAATCTCATCTTGTCTTTTGATTCGTTCACGGTTACAAAAAATCACCACATAGAGTCTCTCAAGTCTCCATAGATATAACAAACACAGAAATAAATAACACAAAATAAATTGTAGCTATATGTCGATTCTGCACTACACGTCCGAACATGTAATCTGAACAATAGTATGGGGGAAATGAGTAATCAAGGGTTGCATGGCGCTCAAATAAAAGACAAATCCACAAGATTTGAAAATCACGTAACTCTGGGTAGCGTAAGTCGAGGTATTACTGTAATTATCAAAAAACTGAAACATTACTTTATTATATTTAATATCAATAATAACTATTTATTTTCATTATTGGAAAAAAAAATTAAAGTAGACCTCATTTAATCTAATACAAATGCAATAAGACTTACTTGTATTAATCTTTTGATATCAATAGATTTCTCTAACATGTTACGCAAATATCTGTTTATTGCCATATAATCATTTAGTCGTAATATATCATTTTCAAAAATTTTCAAAAGAGCTAAAGAGAAACGAAATAAAACCTAAAAAATTGAATAAATAAAACTTTAAATTTTGAATGATTTAATTAATTTAATGAAACTTAATAATTATAAATCAAACAAACCTTGCTACTTTCATATAAAAAAACATCCCATATTCTCAAATATATTTCAACAGGAACATTATCCACAAATATTGTAAGAAACCAATTGAAAGTAAACAGTGATAAATCAATGTTATACTGATCCAAATGATTATATAACCGAGGAAGTTTTTCTGATACCAAGTCTTTCAAAACTCTCTGGAAATATTTAAAATATTAATATAATGAAATATTTTAAAATAGCAAATAAATAAATACAGTAAACTTCCATTAACTTGGACTAATAGGAACTAAATGTCTGAGTTAACACAGTGTTTTCTCCAGTGATATGGTAAAAATGAGAACATGAATATATAGTACAGTAATTTATTACAATTAGCTCTATACAAAAGTTTTATTGACACTACAAGAAATGAGATCAAAAAATTTTTTGACAGTACAGTGTATAGAGATGTACAGTCTTTAGTAACTGATTGACTACAGTAATATAATGTACAGTATTATTGACTTCCAAATATCAAAACTCATTAATTATAGGCTTAATTTTTCTATTGTTAAGAAATTTTAAATTACTGTTTCAAAAAAATTTATATGCGTTATCAAGTGTTTATTATAATGAAATATTACAATAAATTTTTATTGTAATATCATATAGAATTCAATGTAAATTCAATATAAAATAAAGAATTTTCTAATACTTTGTCACTTCAATATCATTTTCATAACATAATACTCAATGAACATTTTATTAAATTTTTCTATTTACTTATGGCAATAGTAAAAGATTAAAGTGAAAAAATATATCATAATAAAATGATCTTATTTTTATGAATATTTATCTTTTAGAAAAATAAGATTATTTCATCATGATCTTATTTTTCTGTTTAGTTCTTCCCTGACAACATCAGCAAAAGTCCTGCTAGCAAAATTGATGCTGAAAAAATCTTTGGTGTGTGTATAATATGCAATATAAAAAAATTTAAATTTATTTAAATCTTTAACAGTAAGAAATAATAACTCAATATTGAATTTCAGATGACCAATAAATCTTTAAGAAAGCCAAAAACTGTTTATACCAAAACATATTTGAGAAAGACATGTCATCTTAACAAATTAAACTTAATTCTAGGTTCTTTAGAGTATGGAGTAAACGTACATTGTTTTAGCAATGTACTCATAAACAAGATGTTTTACAGTTATATGTTTGAAAAATAAATGTTCTAATTACATTTAAATTTTTTCTTACATTAATTATGTTTTGACCTCATATTACATATAGCTCAACATTATAAAAACAAATGCCATTATTATTTATAATCTTACTTCTCCTCTTAATTTTTACTAAACATGCTCTTTTCTGTTCTTTTTTTTCAATTCTTTCCACATTTGATATAACTTTTCCGTATTACTGTAACTCACAATGGTCAAACATACGGTTTTAAATATTTTTCTACACAAACAAAGTTTTATGTTCTTTGCAATAATGAAACAAATGTAAGTTTGAATCTTTGGTGAGAAAATGACATTTCTTGAAAACAGCTTGGTGTGAATAAGTTTTTGGGTTTCTTGAAGTTCTAAAATTCATTTAAATATTTATCACAGCTTTATTAAAAATTAGAAATTCATAACTTTGAACTCATAAATTATGTAAATGCCTGTCTGCCTGGGCTGTATCATGAAATTGTCCTTTTGTCTACTATTTTCCATTCAGTCATTATACAATAAAACTGAAATGTAAAACTGATGTACCTGCTATGTAAATTTTAATTTTGTTACAAAAGTAGATTATATAAAGTTAAAACTGTTTTATTTAATTATATGTAAATTGATGGCGATTGTATTTATAAACACTTTTAATAAAGCTGTGATAAATATTTAAATGAATTTTAGAACTTCAAGAAATGTCATTTTCCTTTGGCAGGTAACTGAAAACCAGTTTCAATTACCTGCAGTTTAAAAAATTACTGTACTAAAAAATGTAGTTTTAAATAATTAAAATGCATATATTATATTATAAATTAATTCTATTATTTATCTTTTTCTTTCTATTAAATATTTTTGTTTTACATTTTATATATTCAAATCATTTTATTTATCACTTGTTACCAAATACAAATAATATATTTTTCCTATATGTAATCACAAAAATTTAGTGTGTGACCTTAAAATTAAACACTTAAAGAATAAGACTTAATAAAAGCTTTCTTATTAATTTGCTATTTAATATATTTTATATTTAGGATACTTGATTTAAAATGTTAGAACTGTTTTGTAATTACAAAAATATCAATTTTAAACACATGTAAAGAAGAAAAACTATTACAGTAGAGCGTCGATTATCCGAAAGTCAATCATCCGAAAGAATTCCAGTAGGCAAATTTAAATTTTCGCCAGTGCTGTGGCGCTGCAATCTTTGGCTATGTCTTGGGCTACTCAAATATTTTACGTTTTTGATACTAAATTAACTTCTGAAGTATAATTTTTTATTGTTTTTATATTTTTCAATATATTTATTTTGTTCATACAAAATAAAAAAATAATTTTTAACAGTACAATAGTCTTCGTTAGGCTTAACATCGACGAAAATTCAACACAAAGCGACACGCAACAGAGAAAAATGTTAAGATGGGATAAATTAATCTTTTTTTTCGTACATAATCGGTTATCCGAAACATCGATCTTCCAAATTGTCTCCAATTGATTTGGATAATCGACACTCTACTGTATTATAAAATCTTAATGTAAATTCTGTAAAATTATCAGTTTTGTCTATAAATCAAATTATTGAATTATTATATATATATGCATAAAATAATTTCTTAAATTTATTTCATCTACTTTAGTTATATATTGACTATGTAAATCTTACTTGATCAACTTGAGATGCTATTAGTGTTTTGCTGTAATAGTCAGCAGGCATAATATATTCTAGAATAGCAACAAGACACCAAAATGCATCTTCTTCTTCCATAAATAATAGAGCTATAGCTGCTAATCGATTTATACCCTAGTTAAAATAAAATTGTCTATGTTAAAGCATCACTAAAAAGAAGCAGCTTTAATAAAAATATGTAATTAAACTAAAATGTCTGTACATTCTAGGATTTTTGCATGAATAAAATATATTCAAAAAAGATCTTTCATATCTTTTACTGATGAAAGTATCATATGACATGATAAGAAATTCTTCAGCAGTCTTAATGATGAATACTTTAAAAATGCTAGCATAATAATGAAGAGGCTATTTCATTTAATTTTTACTTCATTCTTAAAAATTTGTTCAATCAATACAGTAGTAATTATAATTTTTGCTGCATCCTGAATGTTCACGTATTCTTTTATACTGATTTCCTATATGCGCTCCTTAGACAGAAAGAAATAAGATTTTGATACATGTAAAATGATGATGTTTTATTAAGATCTAATTTAACTTTTCATTCTTTACCAGACAAATAATCTATCATCATATCAACTTTTAGTATGTATACAGGAATAATCTTTTTCTATCAGCTTGATGATTTTAGGCCTTTGACTTTAATTTAAAACTCAGAATAACTTTTGGATGTGATAACAGTTGCTGTACACATACCTGACAATAACCAATGGCTGGATTATGTCTACTATAAGCAAGCAATACTCTCCGTAACCGAGGTACTCCACTAGAGTCAAGATTTTCATAATGCCTATTATTGGGTAATGTTCTTAGCAAATCCAGTTCAATCTTAAATAAAATTAAAATTTTCAGATGAATTTTTTAGTGAATATAAATTAATTGTAAATACTTAATATTAAGTTTTAATAATAAATATATATGCAAACATAGCAGCAGTATTTTAAAAATACATATGAAATTAAATAAATATCATTTTATACAATTTTATAACAGTGTTCAATTTTCAAGAATAGTAATTACTTTGTCTTAGAATATAAAAAATTTGTTATGCACAAAAGAAAAAAACATTTCAAGCAGAATAGTTACTGTCCTGATGAACATTTCTTCATTCTTAAGATTTCAAATTTAGTTTAATATTTTTAAACTGGTAGCAAAAAAATTTTCACTATTCAACAATTTACCTTCATTGTTTAAAATCAATACAAGTGGAGGAAGAGACCAAGAAAGAGTTGCAATCCACAGTTATATAGCAACACAAGATTTTTACTTATTGTTAATAATCAGGTGAAAATCAGCTTACAAGCAATCTCTAAATAAATTTTTTCTCAATCTCAAAAATGCTTTATGCATTATTGAGGATTAAAAAAAAAAAAAAAATGCTTTTGTACTAAGGTCAGACTGTCATAAAACCATTGTGTTACAGATCAAATTTATGTCTAGGATTATATATCTACTGTAGTTATAGATGTAACAATGAAAGCTAAAAATTGTATTGAAATATTAGAAAATAAATTGATATAATACAAAGTCATCTTTAGGGATATCTAAAAGACAAATATTTTAAGAAAAAAGTTCTATGTCATTGTGTACTCACTATTCAAAATAAAGTGCGATTAAAATTATTATAAGATGAAAAATGTCTGGATATCATCTTGACCTCAATTCTACTAACAATTTGTGATTTAAGTATAAGTAAAATTTTAAAGAAAAGACCAGCTATGAACATGGATTGGTATAGTATTTCCTTTTTATACAAATCATTACTAAAAAATTACCTTTTAGATTAGTGTATTCAGTGCCAGATGGTATACATTTATGAAAGCAAATGGTTGGTCAAAAAAATTGCTGCTAACAGTAAAATATTTTAATAAATTTATAAAATTTACAAACAATAAAATAACTGGTAAAACTTAACTTGTTAAATATTTCAAATAATCAAACATTCAATTATATACTTGTTATCTACTATAATAAAATTTTTTTGTAACAGATCTAAACCTTTACTTGAAATATTTAAAACAAAAGAATAGAACTGAAACTATCAGAAAACTATTATAATAGATTAAGTAACAATAGAAAGTATCATTATATTATAATTATACATTTTCATATATATTTTAACAAGTAGAAAATTATAAATAATAATTTTCTACTTGTTAATATATTATTTTAAATAGTATTCTTATAATTGATAGTATTAAATACTTAATCTAAATTAAGTATTTAATACTATCAAAATTAAAGATATGAACTTTTCAAAAACAATTAAAAATAAATTAACCTGTTTTGCAGCAGGATCTAGCCTATTGAGATTTGCAGTTGCACAAAGAAGGTTTTCATAATAATCAGGACAACATTGTGACCTAAACTGACCAACTCTCATATCAATACATCTAAAAAGAAATATAAATAAACATGATGTTAAAGCAGAATTTTTAAAAAATATCTATTAAAAATAATAATTGTGAATTTTCAATTTTATCAATATTTCTTAACCTAATAAATAGGCTAAAAATTAAAGATATTTTTTATGCATCATTTCAATACATATGCTAAATGCAGAAATTAGTAAAAAGTTACTTAAAAAAAATATAAATATACACACAATTTTGTTTTATGATTTTCATCTAACATGGTCTAGAAAAGTCAATTCTCTTTTTACACAACTTATGAATCATTTTTTAAAAAAGTTCTTAGAATTTTTAAAACAAAATTTGTATGATTAATTATACATTTATTAAATTTTACAGGTAAGTAAGTTACAATTGTTTCACCTCTGATTTTTTAATTAAAATTTAAATATTTTGTTAAACACATCTTATTGTATTAATTGATTTATCACATTATTTTTACTGGTCTAGAACTAATATTCTGGTTTACCATAAGAATAGTATTTTTTTTTTACATGGATATTTCAGTAACATATCTACCATGTAAAAACAGACTTTTCTATTATTTTTTTATCATTAATTATTATTAGTATTAAAAATTTAATAACATATTTTAATAATGGTATTATTATTTTAAAAATCTTTTTAAATGCGTTTTTACTTTTTAAAGTTAATTAACATAAATATAAAAAACAATAAACATAAAAATTAAACTCTAAAAAAGTTAACACTACAAGAACATTTTTTTTTATTGTTAAGGATATGGTTAAAGATTATTATTATTTATTTTCATTAAATAGTGAAAACATTTTAATTTTTATCAAACTTATGTTAAAACTTCAGTAATTGTACAGTCTACTATAAAAATTTGTAATCAACTTAAAATAAAATAATTATAAATTACAATTGAACAACACAAACATCTAGCAAAAAGAATAAACTTTACTACAGACAAATGCTGGTATTATTGTAGTTATTCTATTGGAGTACTAACCCAGTTTTCATTGATTGGCTTTAATTATAAATTACTTTTATTCATCAAAAATTAACAAAAATGTCAAAAGTTATTGTCATATGCTAATAATACACTTTACATATTACTTTTAATTTTTCATAATATTTATAAAAACAAATGAAAACAAGTAAAATGGCAAAACCGTATTTTGGAACAAGACTATGTCTATGAGACTCACTACTAAGCGGAATCACTTTGATGCTCAAGGCGGGACTCGTTCTCATTCTCCAATCTTCTTTGGTATTGCTGCTTTTGGGCATGATTGTTCAAACTTTGCCGCCCATGACCACGAGATCGTCCAAGATGCATTTTCGATAAAATTAACCTATCCAATTTTAAAATTTCTCTCCATTGCGTGTCGGCCCGGGTTGAATTTTTGTCAACGTATAACAAAAATTTCCCGTTTTTGAAAAAAATAATTGTAGTTATTGTATCGTCCAAAATTATTTTTATTTTGCACAAACAATATACAGTTTAACGTCATTGGATGTAATGACAACCCTAATATAATGTCAAATTTTTATCAGTCCCATGATTTTACTATACTAGATAATGTTAAAAAAAAACCCACTTGTAACGACATAAAACCATTTTAACGTCATATTTGAAGCACTCCCAAATTTACAAAATTAGATTACAAATTTTATTTAACATAGAAGAAACTACATGTTCAGTCCTAAGGTCAGAGTTCACTTGTTAGAATGACTGTGGATGGTACTCTCCCCCACCTAACTTCAGTGGAGTGAGGTGCCTGTTTTGCCTGTTTGTAGAAGAGGATCGCCATTTTGTATTTTATTTTGACTCGGTTCTCGATCTCCTGACTACCTACAAGTCTGAATTTTTTTATGCACAAATGATTTGGGCACCTAATACTCTGTGCCAAATATCAATTCTCAACATGTACTCCTTCATACCTCTATGCTGGTAACAAAAAATGGCAGTAAGATTTTATAGACAAGACATAGTCTTGTCTATAAATAAAGATATTAAATAGTTGTCTTCATGTTTGATATATCAAATAGAAAGTGATTGTGATATTTAGAAAAGCTTGATATATCAAAATTCCCAAATAATAGCAATCAAATTGTCAAATAATACTTTTCTTAACTTTATAGTAATTTCCAAGTATGAAATAAAGTTTTACTTCTTTAAATCTATAGTTTGTTTATATAAAACTAAAATATTTATATTTCTGATGTAAATCTATTATCTATCTACATTATGAGCATTACCTTTCTATGCATACTGAATACAATTTCAAGACTGATTATTATAATTACCTTTTCCAGATTTTTCCTCTATATTCTTGAGGAATTCCAGAACGAATTAACATTTTAAGTTCAAGACTTCTCGGTAAATCTTTAGTATTAACATTAGCCATAAAGTTGTCCCATTTCACTCGCCACGAAAGTATTTCTGAATCCTATTAAAATTAAATAAAAGTTAACACTTCAAAAATCAAAGTTTTTCCTTCTTTAAAAATTAATAAAATATTTAATTTCAATACATATGCTAAATGCAGAAATTAGTAAAAAGTTACTTAAAAAAAATATAAATATACACACAATTTTGTTTTATGATTTTCATCTAACATGGTCTAGAAAAGTCAATTCTCTTTTTACACAACTTATGAATCATTTTTTAAAAAAGTTCTTAGAATTTTTAAAACAAAATTTGTATGATTAATTATACATTTATTAAATTTTACAGGTAAGTAAGTTACAATTGTTTCACCTCTGATTTTTTAATTAAAATTTAAATATTTTGTTAAACACATCTTATTGTATTAATTGATTTATCACATTATTTTTACTGGTCTAGAACTAATATTCTGGTTTACCATAAGAATAGTATTTTTTTTTACNTACATTTAATAATTACAAATATTATAGTAAATATAATTATAAATAAATTAATATTAATTTATTTATAATTATATTTACTATAATTCCCAATATAATCCTGCAGACCAGTTGGCTTTAATCAAAAATCAAGTTAATGGATGTTTATATTTGTTGTAATTTTATTTTTTATTAATCATTAGCAATGTTTTGAAAATAAATGAGCTACTCAAAAATTTTAACTTGTTAATCCTAAAGCTGGAACTATCTTCTAAATACTAAAATTTACACCTTCCTCTCACTTTCCAGCATTCACTGATTAAAAACGAACATTTTTGGCTACCTTCAGTGGCCTGCATTAGGTTAAGCAGATTAACTCTATCTACTTAACCTAATTATAGAACTTGGAATAAACATTCGATATAGAATCTGCTTAACTTGACACAGCCCACTAAAGGTAGCCAAAAATGTTTATGTAATTCAGTAAATGCTGGAAAGTGAGAGGAAGATGTGAATTAGTACTACTCAAAACTATTTAAACAAATCTTATTTGTTCTTTAAAACAATTTTTATAAGTCTTTTGACTTAATTATTGAAGCTATTATGTAGATTATTTTCTGTCCTTTTATTCATGTTCAAGAATATTTCATAAACTTTTTAATTTTATTATTTTTAATACTAAAAATCTTCAAAAATTTTATAAAATGAGTTATAATTCTGAGATATATCACATCAAAATAGTTTACAAAAAATGTTCAGAAAATAAGAAAATAAAAATTAGAATGACAAAAATCACTAAAAAAAATAGTGTTTGCAATGTACTGTACTTTTTAAGAGAACTTCTGCATATTAAGGAAAAGAACCTCTGAATAAAAGTTGATTCTACTAAGTGACTTTATTTTTCTGTGGTTTAAAGAGATTGTTATGCAAAGAGACATTGTAGTTTTTGAATGTTTCTTCTATTTGTTATTTTAAAATGTTCAGAAAAAGTCTAAAATTTGAATACTTAAAATATGTGGCAGATGCATTTTTCAACAAATAAAGTATTAAATGAACAAATCATCTTTCAAATTTGGAAATAGAAATATTTAACTTTATCCATTTATACAGTATTATTAAATTTAAATAGATATTGTTAGTTAAATAATATTTAATATTTACTGAAACTAAATATGAATTAATTCTATTTTATAAGAAGCTTTTTCTTTCTACAATCAATATTGCTATGATGACAGGCTTTGTTACATACATAACTATCATAAAGATTTAGTAACTATAAATTTCCTATCACTAGTCTAATGTAAATGATATAATTGACTAACCTTCATTTTATTTGTTATATCTTCAGATCTTTTTTTCAAATTTTCAGCTTTGCTTGCTAATAAATCTTCTTCTTTACCCCATTTCCAATTAAAACCAAGATCATCGTAGTCTTTATTACTGGAAATAAATTATTACACTACAGTAATTAGCTTTAATTTTCAATATATTTTCTTATCTGTAAACAATTTTAATTACTTAGCCCAAGTTGATACGTAAAATGAATTTGGACGAGAATTGTCCAAAGTAGCTTCATCCAAAAGTCGTCGTATAGTTTCCTGAGTTTGACTATCTAAAGTAGTTTTGATAGTGAATTATTACATTTTATTTTAATTTTTCGTACTAATTAGAATATTTACCTGAATGTGGTTTATCTAGTTCTTTTAACAAATATAACAATTTACTTTGAATCTGGCAGCATTTTGCTTCCCACTCACTACATTTACTATAAAATAATAAATAAAAACATTAAATTAATGATAAAAAAATTATTGCATATAATTTTATTTAAATAAAACATCAGAATAAATTGATTTATTTACACTATTAATTTATGTTCTCTTTCTTCTCCATACTTTCTTAACTGATTTAATTCAAGGATTTCTTTATTAAGAAATTTGTTTTGCAATTCAAAAGCTTGTAATGCATCCTAAAAAATTTAATGACAAATAAATATCTATATACATGATAAGAATTACTCTTTTATGAACTGAAATTATAGATTGAAAGTGACAATTACATTAAATTTATATATTTGCAGCAAGTATTTAAGTATCAAAGTTAATACCTCACTAATTTTTAATAACACATTAAATCTCTACACAAAAATTAAAACAGTTTGATAGAATATCATAATATAGAGTTAGTTTAGTGCAAATATTTTGATCTCTTCTATTGATGCAGTTTTCTTAAATAAGTTAATTTCTGAATTTTTAACTGTTTTAATATTAACAGATGCTTAAATGAAATCATAAATTAAAATTGTTTCCAAATGTGATAAATATTGCTTTCAAAATTTAGAGATTTTAATAAAATAATAGAATGACAACATTTAAATTGACAAACAATCTAAAACTAAATATTTGCAATTTAAAATAATACAATCAGATACTAGCAGAACTAAACCAAAGTATATTATATAAATTGTTTACATAAAATCATCATAAGTGAGACATACAGTATATATAAGTATATATGACATTTAATCAAAACATACTCAGACTACACACACAATTTTATAGTTAGCAAATGGTAAGGGAAACTAGTGACATTATAATTATAATATAATCAATTGTGAGTTGATTTCCACTGAATTTGTATCATAAAGTATTTCCTTTTGAGATATGTAGTGATTTCTGTAATTCTATTTTCTTTTAAATTTGGAAACAGAACCATCAAATTTTAAAAATATCCTTTGAAGATGATATAGTAGGGCATCGATTATCTGACTCAATTGGGTGTGTACCCAATTGAGTCAGATAACTGAAAAAAATCAGATAACCGAAAAGAAGGAAAAAAATACATTTTTAGTATAGTATATTAGTATATCCCACATAATTAGTATATTAATATATCACTATTAACCAACTTTACGTTGAATTTTCATCAATATTAAACCTAACAAATTTTTTTATTAAATAATAATCGTCACTATTGTATCATTAAAAATTATTTTTAAATTATTTTATTGCTCACAAAACAAACAACCACTCATAATTAGAAAATTAAGTCTCGTTTAAATACTGGCTTCCTTTCAATGATCGAGCCAATGTTGCCAGCTAAAACACACAAAAACAATATTAAAGTAGCCAAGACAGCCAAATATTGTAGTGCCACATTACTAGCGGACATTTGAAATTTGCCGACTAGAACGATCGGTTAACCGATGTGTGAAATCCACAATTTTTACGCCGATGTCGGAAAAATCTTTGTAAACAACTCCGAGGAAAAACCACTCTTGGTGAGAACTATATATCGGAGGTCACCGATTGTTTTCACATTATGGTGGGAAAGTTGACAGTTAGTTAATTGGAATGCACCATAAGTGTCAACAGAAGTCGATCATGTGACTCATTTCCCACGAATAACGTATAAGAGCTCGAGTCCCTGAAAGCTCCAAGCGATCCCTCGGAAGTTATACTTGGTAGATGTGCCATATTTGTCTCCATACTCCAGATGAAAGGACATATGACCAACTACAGCCATTTGAGCTTCCATCGCCATTAACGAACATATTCAACAAACGCATATTAGACATATCAGCATAGAGGTATTTGTAGTTTTTAGAGCTTTGTGAACTCTCTCTCAGACTAGCAGGTAAAGCTATCAGACTAGGCAGGTAAAGCTATTATTGTCCCTTTTGTATAGTGAACTTATTTAATCGCATTTAACCTATGTATCCTAGCTTAGTTATATAAATAAATGCTTGTTTAGTTTTTAAACCTGTCTCCTGTCTCTGAAGGAAACCTGCCGACTTACTGACGCACTCGCCACTCAAATTTTTGCCCTCCTAGCCATCCGACAAGCCGAGAATGGGTTTTACCAACCTGTTGCAGAGTAAATGGTCATTTGGGATGAGCCCAGTGGTCCACTGCTAATCTCACAGATGTGACAGTTAATCGGAGGTCAGATAATCGATGCTCTACTGTACTTTGAATTAAACCATATACCTTAGTTACTTGTGTATAAGACAAGGTTTTTATTCATTTTTCACTGCTTCAAAAACCTAGGTCATCCTATATGCGCAAGCGAAGGCATTTTTGCAATTACTTTTGTGAACCATGTGTTTGCATTTTTTACCAGATGCTCACCCTCTGGTGACAAAAAACAAAACTATTTTATCTGAATTGTTTCAATCATTCTTGTGTATTGTCAGGATTAAATATGAATAGCAATAGGAAAAGCAAAGCTTTTGAATTTAATTTTAAATTAAAATTCCATAATTACATGAGAACCCGATATAAGTTTTAATCCATTCCACATGAAAACATGTTTATTCAGAAATCAGAATTTGGAGAAACTCTTAAGTGTAATCAACAGAGTGTGGATTCAACTGTTAAGAATTGGCAAAAAAGGTTCCTGATTGTCCAGTTTAACATGAACAAATTATGTTATCGATTTTGCAAGATTTTTCCTTAAAGTTTAAGATACCAGTAATTTTTGCAGGACAATGTGTGCATTTATGTGAATTTGACATTTTATTTGTGATTAAACAAAATAAAATTGTATTAATAAATCTAATTTTCTTTATTTTCATCTTTAAAGTCACACCTCATCCTATATGTAAGATCGTCTTATAAGCGAGTGAATACAGTATTTTGAATTGCTTTGATGCTTTAAAGGCAGAATTTAGTGAAGAATAAGACAAATGAAAATAAGGTAGGTCTTCAAATTCCAAAATTGTATGGAAAATATATCCAAGTTTGCATATCTATATGCATGCTAACTGGTTACTGATTTAACCAGGAGGTTGAAAAAAGTAGGATATCATATGACTCTTATAAAACATTTTAAACAATGTTTTTGGTATGAATTATATTGCTGCCAAATTTGTTCCTCACTTCAATCCTGACTTTCACAAAGTGAAACATGAAGAGAATTCATGAAAAGGGGTGAAATCAGACCAGATGTTTTAGGTAACATCATAACAAGCAATAAAAGTTTGGATTTATGATTCAGACATAGAAACAAAACTGAGATAAGCAGAGGGTCATGGGTAAATTCTAATGACCAGTTAATCTGCACAAGATCATGAGATCCAATCTCTACGTCAATGGATGGCTTTAAATGTGTTTATTAAAAAAGTGGAGACATACGATCATAAAATCCAGTCTCCTGTCAGGATTCCCAACACCAGCTAGGGTAATTAGAATATGTGCCCTAACTCGTGTAAACAAAATCAAGAGGTGACATCCGAGTGACATCGTCTGCATAAATTATAGGAGGGGCTTGAAATATACGAGTGGGAGTGTCACGTTAGAATACTAATCGAGAGCAATCGACAAACTCCTTTCTAAACAAAAACAAAACTAATTTAATAAAACTATATAAAAGTGGTTACAAACTATAATATAATAATATTCAACAAAAATGACTATAAAAGTCTTCAATTCTAGATTGACCCTAATCTTTAGGTATTCTACCTTCAGAATACAAGAGAGAGTTTACAAAAGTACTATTATAATACCTCCATATTATTCTTGACTTGTAACCTTCCTGTCTTTTGGGCAGAAGTTCAATCTATAAAGTATGGCACTAAGTTAAACTTGAGGATACAGTGATAGTGATGTGCCTGGAGTTTAGCACATATCCTCTATACTATTTTTATCCTCCAATACAGATTAAGGATTAAGATCATCTGACTGTGTCATGATGAGTCTTTTTAGTTTAGTCAGCCCTTTAGTCATGGGAGATAAGATCTCTCTCGGGAACTGACTGTCAACACAGGAAACATTTGCTCCTTGTTCTCTCTGATTTTTATCTTTGATAAAAATTTCGAATTATTATTATTTTATTTAATTTTTAAAAGATTTTCTATAATTTCTGGGAATATTTTATCCCCAAAATATTCAGAACTCACAAAATAAGTCATCACAATGGAGAGCACTGAGTTCTCTACGACCAAAAAATTAGCAACTAAAGTCAAATCTGAAAGTAATAATCATCTCATTTTCAGTTTGCAAGGACTTCATTGTAAACAAGGTATTAATCAAAATTTTTATCTTGATGTTCTGAACCTCAAGATAATTGGTAATGTCAATCAGAAAAAAATAACCTAAATGTTGGAAAGTTTTGTTATGAAACAAATTCAATGAATATTTTCAAGTAAAATAAAACATCACTATAATATTGAATTGTATAAAAAAGAATATACAAATATATTTACTCTTGCAAAATAGGTATTTTATCTAATTGCAAAATTTTACAAATAGTTTGTGAAATAAATTCAATGTTTTCCCATTTTTGATTTAGACCACTTTCAAAATCACCAGTACATATACAATCCATTAAGTTAACATAGAACTGATCTCATGATCATAAATAATTGTTATTGACAAATTCAAAGAATTTTTCTATAAACCAAAATGTAAAGAATAGTTTCACAGACTTTGCCTGAACGAAAAGCAAACTAAAAAAGATAAAGAAAAAATTTTTCAAATTAATACTTAACCTGTCACAAATCCATTATATAAACCTATCATAAGTTTAATTAAATCATCATTAATACAAGTGTGTATAATTTTAATATAAATATATAAAATTTATGTAATGTTAATCAATTAATATAATTTATAAATAAAATTTACTTGAAGATCTTCCATCTCATCTTGTTCAACTATAAATCCTGACTGTTTTCCTTGACTTTCTTCAGATGAATCATTGCTGTTTGTTCTGTTTTCAATACTTTTTTGTCTTTTTTCTGTTTCCAAATCAAAAATCTCATTTGTCAAGTTTACAACAATTTTATCTTTCTCACCAAGTAGTTCTTCAAATAAAGCTATTTTTTCCTTTAATTTTTCTATTTCCTTTTCTAAACGACTTAAAAAATAATAATTGAAAAATGGTAATTTTAATTAAAATTTTTTTTTGTTTAAAATTTATCAGCATATATAATTTATAAAAATGATACATATTAATACAATGCAAAATATATTTCTAAATTTAATAATAATAAATTTCAACTAAATAATAATATCAAATCAATGTATTAAAGCTATTTCATAGATTATAGTTCTTGAAAAATTTATAAAATTTGGCATTACAATTTTAAGGATTTTTAAGAAACATTTTTTTGTATAGTAATATGTTGTATGTCAAGAATCAAGCAAAAATAATATATAAAATTCTATCAATTTGAATAACTCCACTAGAAAATAGCAATTTGAATAAATATAAATATATATATACTAGCTGTTACCCACGATTTCTCCTGCAGAGGTTTTGCAAGCAAACCCCATTTACATTCAGTATTTCAACAACCATAGTAATTGTTATATAACACCTAATGCTAAGAATGATGGGAATTGCTGAGAATCAAATGAACTTGGTACTTGAACTTTCCCAACTCAATTCAGTATTTGAAAACAAATTTGAGGGGAAATCACTCAGTACTAGATTGAATAAATGCTACAAGAAATTTTTAATTAATAACATATTTTTATTTTGTCATCCTTAAAAATAAAAAAAAATATGAAAGCGTTACTTCTGATCAAGATCAACAAAAAAGCTCAGATACTTTGTAAAAAGAAAACTCACTCATTTAACTAAAATTGATATTAATGTGTCATACAGTACTTTTAATTGTGATTATTAGTTAATTATTTATTAGAAATAAATCATTGATTGCTTTAATAAATATATTTCTCTTAGTAACAAAAAACAATAGTATATCTTTGTTAACTTTTGGAACATTAATCCCATGTTTTTTATTAGTTCTTTATTTTGTATAACATGGTACTTTTTTGAAACATAACTAACGTGTTTTATAAGATACCTGTACATCATAGTTTCAATATTTGTTAATAAAAACTCATTTTAGTCTTATAATCTCATTAATATCAATTTTCTTAAGCCATGCACAGATATCTAAATAATCTGAACAATTACAAAAGTTTCTTTCTGAAAATGTTATAAATGGATATAAACCAAATTGATACTAGATTGATACTAGCACTCAAGAGTTTTCTTTCATTCTATAAAAAGTTCAATATTTATGCCTTTTGTTTCCTTTTCTTTTGTTGTCTGTTTTGACATTAATCAACTTTGTTTTAAATGTGTTGGAATTAAATGATGATTAGTATCTGAAATATTATATATATATATATATATATATACACACACACACACACACACACACACACAATGACACTTTTCGTACTTATTCCAGCAACTTTATTCAGAAATGAGAATGTTTTTGGTCACCTTTAGTGACCCTCTTCAGGTTACAAGCCATTCCATTCATCAATTCATTTAAAACCTAGAGAAATGTTCTACAGATATCATCTTTTAAAAAAGCATTCTACATTAATCATATCCATAGAACAGTTCTCTATCTTTTAAATGATTGATAAATGGAACAGCTTGTAACCTGAAGAGGGCCACTAAAGGTGACTAAAAACATTCATATTTCTGAATGAAATTGCTGGAATAAGTACAAAAGGTTTCATTGTGTGCATATATATATATATATATATATGTACTTTCTTACTACGTTATATGTAATAATAAAAATACATACATACGCTGACTTGCAATTTTATGTCATGTTTTTTTGTTAGTGTGGGTTAAATAATGTCTAATGTCGATTGNTATTTCGAAATCTGTCACATTCTTGTTGTTCAATAACTAGTTGATGATTTAATTGTGCTAATTCTTGATCCTTCTGAGTTAAAATATCTATCTCACCCTGAGTTGATGATGATTTAAGAAGCCTAATTCTATTTAAAAATAATAATTTCAGTAAAAATATTCAAATAATATTCATTTTATAATCAATTTGAAAGACCAAAATCATTAAGATTTAAAAACAAAAGTTAGAATTAGAAATATATTAAATTTTAATAAAGAAATTTTATTAAATAATCTTAGTAATATGCAAATTTAATGATGTAAATCAATCCTGGGTTTCTAACATTTAATTCTTTAGATAGAATTTAGATAGAATTATTGTAATAAAAAAGTTAATACTAAAATATTTTACAATTATCTTTCTTTCAATTTGTGTCACTAATTTATTTTCTCTTAAAAAAATTACGCTTCTTATTGTTTAAGCCAAGACAATGCACAGTACTTGATTGATACTTTTCAAACATTCTTCCAGATTTAAAACTTTCTATAGAAATTCCTACAGAAATTCATTACAGTACATAAAAGAACATGCTAATTGTATTAGAATCTTAAAATGAATTATAATAAACTGGAAACAGTTTTGTTTATGATTTTCCTATTTCCAAACTATCAATAGTTTATATTTTCTATATTTTAAAACTTTGAAAGAAAAACAATCATTATGTGAAAATTAAATACATGGGTAGGCTGAAAAGTAATGCACACATGCTTGTAGAACACGAACAAAAACAAATAGCAAGATCGGGCAAAAAGTACATTAAAGTACAATTTTTAAGCTTCAAAATCATATATTTATTTTTCAACATAATCACCGTTAAGGCTAACACATTTCTCCCAACGTGTAACAAGTTTTTCATTCCGTCACTGAAAAATTCTTCCGACTTTTCTTTGAATCCAGGACTTGACAGCTGCCTTCACCTCATCGTTCAAGGTGTAATGATCACCCTTGAGGTCTCTCTTGAGTAGAGGAAAAAAATAAAAATCTCAAGGCGCAAGATTGGGGGAATAAGGAGGGTGTAAAATTGGTTCAAACTTCAGGTTTCGCAGAGCCTCTCCAGTTGCACGCAAGGTGTGTGGATGGATGTTGTCATGTTGCATTATTGGCACCAGGCTGCCTCTAACATGACAAACTCAATGTCGGAAGTGTTTTAGAGTCTGTATATACTGAGAAGAATTAAACATTGCAACGAGGAGCAATGGTAATCGTCTGTGGCAGTGATCAGACATCCACTGCGTGTTTCATCAACAATTATGGCTTTTCCAGGCTCGCAACCACGAAATTTTATTATCCATCAATTTACAATAGACCTATCAACAGCATTGTCACCATAAACAGCCTTTAAGCGATGATGAATCTCAGTAGGAGTCACTTTTTCAGCAGTTAAAAATTCGATAACGGCACACTTTTTAACTCGCGTTGACATAGCAGTAGAACACGTCTCCATATTTCTGCTTCTCAAAATATACTGAATAAATGCAACAACCTCAAACTGTACATACGCATAGAGGGGGAATGTTACTTCAATATGCCACCTGGCACGCTTCTGAAAATCATTTCATTCATGCTCTACATGTGTGCATTACTTTTTAGCCTTCCCTCATAGATAACCCTAAAAAAAAAAAAAAAAAAAAATAATAAGTTATGAGCATTGAAAATTATTAAAACAACTTCTTACAGAAATACTGGAATGGATAATTCACACTCAAGAACCTTAGAGTCCAGTAACAACACTTTAATGGAAAACTAACATTTTTAACCGTACCCCAGTCGTCCTCAGGTTTTTAACTAGTAAGATTAGAACATGAAATGCATAGAACAACATGTTTAAAAATTATTTTTAAAATATATGGAACAAGCTAAGCACATGTAGACAACTTTTAACCATATATGTTAAAATGGCAATAGAAATATATCTATACCATAAATAATGAATAATAAGATATAAATAATGGGATAGAAAAAGGTTGCTAACTGCTAGTGTTTAGAAAATGATGTATATAAATATTATGCATCATGCTAAGTCCCCATTTAATTGTAATTTTATAAACTGTATTTTTAAATAATCAAAAATACACTTGCTGTAAATCACTTGCTACTTGAGTCATTTAAAACTTTTCAAAAACGTTTTGAAAGTTTCCAAAACTTATTTCTTAGATTTGATATGTTATAATAAATCACCAGTTTAATAATGAAATCCTCAATTTAAATCATAATATAATAAATAACTTAGTTATTAATCAAAACTTATCTTAATCATTCACATTTTCCATATTAGAGTATGTTTAAAATCAGTAAAAATATAACAAAAATACAAAAAAATTTCAATTATTAAAAATAACAACATTCAAAATAATTTATACATTACAGATACTTATAATAAAACTTAACCTGAATTAAACAAATTTTCAATTACAGTAATACCCCGAACTTACACTATAGGTGGGATCGAGCGATAACCACGTAAGTCGGGGTATAATTTCGCAATTTATGTAAAATCCAAGTCGGATGTATGTAAGCTAATAAATGTTCTCGTTAATCATATCTCGTCTTTTGATTCGTTCATGGTTACAAGAAATCACCACATAGACTCTCTTGAGTCTCCGTAGATATAACAAACACAGAAATAAATAACACAAAATAAATTGTAGCTATGTGTCGATTCCGCACGACACGTCCAAACATGTAAGCTGAACAATAGTGTAGGGGGAGTGAGTAATCAAGAGTTGCGTGGCGCTCAAACAAAAGACGAATCCATGAGATTTGAAAATCACATAACTCCGGGTTCACGTAAGTCGGGGTAGCATAAGTCGAGGTATTACTGTACTTACCTAATTTTTCACTCAAAAAATTTTTTGAGTTAATGTATATTTTTAGTTTACAAAATATCAATTGTACAAATATAATTACTATCGAGCATGAAATAATAATCTAAGATAAAATAAATATATTTACAATGTATCTTTTTCCATAATTATATCATTCAGTTGCTGATGTAATACTTTCACAACTTCACGACTTGCTTCCAATTCATCTTCAACAGCACACAAATCATCTTTCAAACTAATGAGTGCTCCTTCCAGCTATAATTTATAAAAATTGTGTGTGTTTATTTTGTTTTCAATACTAAATTTTATAAAAATTTTTTAATTGAAAATTTAATTATTATATGATATTTTAAATAATTCATAAATATATACATTTATTTATTATTAAATTAATACAGCCACTCCCCTACTTACAAATGTTTAACTTACAAACAATTTGACCATATGTCTAAAATTTAAATTTTCTGCAAATTCTGAAGTCCTCTTGCCACTTATGGGGTAGTGTCAATGTCAGTCTTTCTTCTTCTTCTTTATGTGTCTTCTCCTGTCAGGAGGTTGACAACCATTTCATGCTACCATGACCTATCTTGTGCTTCTCTTGAGCACTCTTCATACGTTAAGTATGTCCAATTCCTGATGTTGCTGAACCAGTTCTTTCTTGGCCTACCCCTACCTCTTTGCCCTTCTATCATTCCCTCTAGTAATAGTTTTTGTAGGCTGTTGTGTCGCATAACATGACCCAGATATCTCACAATTCTTTTCCTTACTACTTCTAATAAGGTCCTTTTCTGGTTTGCAATTGCCAGGATATCTTCATTTGTTCTTCTTGCCTTCCAAGAAACTCTCAGCATTCTCCGAATCATCCACATTTCAAATGCCTTTAATTTCTTTTCATTACTTGCATTCATTGTCCAACACTCTGCTCCATAAAGCAGGGTTGACCAAACATAACATTTTGCCAACCTAATTCTTGTTTTTATACTAATTTCCCTTGAAGTCAGCACTTGTTTCATGTTTGTGAATGCAGTCCTTGCAATTCCAATCCTTCTTCCAATTTCCTTATCACTCCTTCCATCATCTGTAATCATATATCCCAGATAGACATAACTTTTGACCTGCTCCAGTTTACTGTTTCTGATTTTAATATTTAATCTTGGAGTTTCTTTTTCATTGGAAATGATCATAGTTTTGGTCTTTTTGCAGTTCAGTGTTAGTCCGAGTTGATTGCTCAAGTTTGTAATTTCCTCAATCAGTATCATTAGATCTCCTTCACTTTCTGCCAATAGCACAGTGTCATCAGCATACCTAAGATTATTGAAATTTCTGCCCCCTATGTTAACTCCTTTTAGATCTTTCACCTGACTGAAAATTCTTTCTGTATAAAGATTGAACAAAATTGGAGACAGCACACAACCTTGCCTAACTCCTTTTTGAATTGGGAAGCTTTGCGAACATTCTTTGCCAATCCTTATTGTAGCCCTCTGTCCCCAGTATAAATTGGCAAGTAATCTGACATCCTTTCCATCCATACCATTTTCTACTAGACATCTAATAAGGTAATCATGTTTCACATTGTCAAATGCCTTTGTATAGTCTATAAAACAGAGAAAAATATTCTTCTGTTTTTCCCTATATCTTTCAATAATAGTTTTCAGGTTGAAAATACCTTCTCTTGTTCCTTTATTCTCCTGGAATCCACTTTGTGTTTCACTAATGCCTTCTGTCCATCTTCCCTTGTTTCTATTTAACAAGATATAAGTTAGAACCTTTGCCACATGACTAATTAGGCTTATGGTTCTAAACTCCTCACATTTAATTGCTTTTGATTTTTTGGGGATTGGAACAAATATTGACTGTTTGAAGTCTTCAGGAAGGTATCCCAGTTCATAGATGTCGTTACATAACTTAGTCAGGGTTTTGATTCCTCCATCATCTAGAGCTTTAATCCATTCTGGTTCTATATTGTCAGGTCCAGCAGCCTTACTGGGTTTAAGTTTACCAATGGCTTTTACAACTTCCCATTTGAGTATTGGAGGACCTTCTAACTCCCTGGGAGACTCGATCTTCTCCCTGTCGCCT